AAAAAAATCAGACAGCCTAGGATCTGAAGGATTTTGTCGGCATGGGATCCTGGCAGGTACAGAGAAAGGTCAAACAAACAAAATCAATCTTGGGACTGGAGCCAATCTTCTATTGCGAATTAAAGAAAAAAAAAATGAGAATCCTTCCATCTCACCAAATCCCAAACCTCCCTCCCATTAGGTGCTTATTACCCAGGAAAAAACCTTAGGCCTCCGTTATAAAATGAAAAATACTTATTATTGAAAATCAGACAGCCTAGGATCTGAAGGATTTTATCAGCATGGGCTCCTGGTTGGTACAGAGACCGGTCAGAGAAAGTCTTATGGACAAGGTCAAAGTATTATACCATGATAAACTACTCTGTGAGGCGAACAACCTACCATCTGTGAAGGCTGAGTCAAGTCAATGCCTGGTAACAACTGAGGTTCTTCCACAAGGGTGGGCTTTAACATCCACTAAAAAGGCAACGAGGTTTAGTGATTCCCAGCAACAGTACTTAGATGTGAAATTTAAAGTTGAGCAAGCAACAGGAGTGAAACTTTATCCAGTGGATGTTGCACGTGACATGCATTACACACGAAACCAAGAAGGGGAAAAACTGTTCACTGTAAGTGAATTTTTGACCGAACAGCAATTGCAGTCATACGTTTCAAGATGAGCCTCTAAACTCCGGCAATATCATTCGGACGATCCAGAATCTGATCAAGACGACGATATTATGGCTGCTGAAGAGTAAATCGCGAATGAAAATGTTCGCGCAGTTGTTTTAGAGGTGGGACTAAGGCACCCAATTGTTTTTGACACTTTCAACTTATGTGACACCCACAAGGAAGGTTACCTGTGAGAGCTTAGTGTTTCCATGCTGCATTCCATTTGCGAACATTTTGACATTGAGGTGATGAACATCAAAGGATGACACAAAGCTCCTTACTTGTCCCTACTTGGAGAATGTCTGGTGGCATGCAGTTGTAGTAACAGTTAGGGTCTATACCGACAAATTAAATGAACATTCCAGCATCAACGTTCTTTGATTTTATGTTTGGAAGCAAAAAACTTATAATTAGCTTGGAAATATGGCTTAATCCTAATCTTAATACGGCTTAATCAGGCCTTCGACTTTTATCAACTTTGTATATTCTTATTAAAGTATAGAACATTACGCCTGATGCCAAAATTGTTCCTGCCAGGATCCCATGCCAACAAAATCCTTCAGATTCTAGGCTGTCTGGTTGTTAACTATATGAATATTTTTCAATCCATCACAGAGGCCTGAGGTTTTCTTCCTGGGTAATAAGCACCTAATGGGAGGGAGGTTTGGGATTTGGTGAGATGGAAGGATTCTCATTTTTTTCTTATTTAATTCCCAACAGAAGATCGGCTCCTGTCCCAAGATTGATTTTGTTCAGTTTGTTTTGTTTTTTTTTCTTTCTAAAAGCCTACACAGCTTTTCTTAACCGTTATGGGATTTACTAGGGAATGTTTTTGTCTGTGTTGGACCCAAGCCCAAGCCCAAATCCCCCACCCCCTTACCTGGGTCTAGTCAAAGAAGATGTCATGCAATCTAGTTTAGCTGAGGGACTTTGGTCTTTTTTCAAAAATATATGTATATGAGGTGAGTAAATGTTTGTCCTATTCTTCCATCATTGCTTTTATGATTTCTCTCAGACAAAATGCAAACATTTTGATCAATACTTTTCATCTTTAGAAAACTGATACAAGCCATGCTTCAAAGTAAACAAATGTGCAGGTACGGGAAGTGTTGTCAAGAGGTTTACAGCTCAATTTCGTACAATAAAAATGCTTTTCCTTTCAGATAATTGCCACTACGGAGTCATAATCATTTGCTTAGTTTTTTAACTGGTGGAAAAGGATCGAATTCTCGAAGTATCTAAACTGCTGTCCAAATTCTCTTGTGTACTCCTTGTATTAGTCATTGCAACTGCAAGTTCAAAAGTCGTAAATTTCAGGCAAGTACCGCCTATGTTTTCAGTTCTCAAAACTTGCTGTTTGAATTGCCCTAAAATTTTATTTCATAAATTGAAAGAAAAAGGATTGCTCATTCTCTGGAATAGCATTTGGACAATGAAAGCCATGTACCAATAAGGGATTTTTGCTGTTGAAAAATCGCAAAATTGATAGTCGCAATGGAACTGTTTTACAGGGTGATTTTGAAAAAAAATTAAAAATTCAGATTGGAATCTTTTGAAATTACAACAATGTTTTCATACAAAGGAAGGGTCATAAAATCATCTTACATCGCAATAGTCATGGTATTTGATTCCATTTCTATTCACCACACGAGGATGTGAAGCACATTTTTCTGTGGTTAAGGGCCTCTTGGAGGTGAAAATTAAAAAAAAGTGTTATTTTCAGAAAATATCAATCAAAAGAAACTGAATCTAGTATTTTCTAAAATAGTTTCATAAGGGCTTTAATATGACAAAGTTTGGGAGATTTCGATTTTTCTGTCTTGCACACGTATCGGTGGTATTTACAGAAACTCGCTCTTAAGGAGTCGTAACATGGGATCAGGAGAGGATATGATCATATCAATTTCAATGGATTTCTATGGTCTGAATAGAAATGTTCTGGCATAATACAACAGTAAAGGCTCTATACCTGGTTGATTCATTTTCATTTTCCCTGTTTGAGGAAATGACTTTAAACCTGGCCTCCTGATTCAGAAGCTGGGGAGATAATATCTTGTTGTTAACCTAATTACAGATATTACTTTAATAGTTGTTTCACAGCTACACAAATACAAAGGAAATGCAACTTTGATTAAACTGAGAACAAATGCACCACTTTTGTGAAGAAATGAAGTACAACAGGAATATTATTAAGTAGAATGATAATGTTACCATTCTCTAACTCAGGCTTTGATTTATAGAATCCTTAGGGTTACAGCATAAATAAAAAGAAACATTTAAATAAAAAAACATCAGCACATCCTGTTGTGGTGAAAAAAAAAAGCGAGGAACTGGTGAAAGGGCTACATTTATTATTCAATCAGTGAGGCCAGAAAGTATTAAGAAAAAATAACTTTATATCAGAAAAAAAAGAGATTTACCTTTTTCTGTTTCCGCAACCTGTCTTGCAAAGCTTCTTGTGTTTGAATATGGGATTTAGCCAAGTTTTCATGGTTAATAGATTGTTTAATCTTAGTCTGCAATGAAAAATTAATTACAAAAGAATACCTGATTTTCAATCAATTTGTTCTACAAAACTGATAACATACTCAAAATTAACTCACTGAAGTTTTCAAGGTACCGTAATCTCTTTTAACAATTTTCAGAAAAGAAATTTTTAAAGGCAATATGAATTCTCCATGATTCCAGCCCCTTGATTTCTTGAGTCAACACAATACTCACCAGAAAATCTTTTCTTTTAGTTTCATCTCCTTGTGGTATACTTCCAACAAACTTGAAAACTCGCTCAACTGAAATCCCAAGAAATTGTTCACTGTCAGAGAGGCTTCACATTCTGGTAAGCTTTATGTTGACAATATTATATAAAAATAATATGCTGTGATTGCTGCTGAAGGTTCCTGTTAATTTCTTGAAAGCATCATTTATTGTGGAAATTTAGTTGAGAATTTCAGTTATTTGGTGATAGGCTCTCCTTGATATGATATCAATATTGATTCTATTTCACTAATTTTCCTGGTCATTAAATGCTTTCCAAGAACTTGAATTTATACAATGTACCTGTCACTGAAATTTTTGAAAAAGGCCAAATTTTGAAAAAGGCCGAGGAAAAACCCATACCACATTAGAAAATAAATGCTTGCATAGACTTTGATAACTCATGTTCTCCTTCAACCAAATTATGTTACAGGTAAAATGCTTATCCCATCCTAACCTACATCTCTATCTTACAGGTCACTAATAAGACTCAAGACGAGATTAGGTATTTTCCAAAGATAAACTTTTTCCAAAATCTTCTCTGGAGACAAAATATCTTAGCTCAGAAATATTACCATCCCAAGATTAAAAATCTCAAGCCCGTGTCTCAGCAAAATTTCAGGTAGATGGATATTCGCTGCCAGTCTACCAGCAATGCACAACACGATGTGAACTACAAAAAAAAGTTTAGTTTGATGATAGCTTTTCATTTACGAAGAAATTACATTTTTTATTATCATTTTTTTTTTTTTATAAATAAAAAATTACAAGACATGTAAGTTGTAATCCACACACCTGTATCAGTAGCTGTTGATTCATCACTCTTGAAATCAGGAGCATCTTTTTCAAAGTCTTCGTTCTTTGCAATATAGGGTTTCTTGAAAACCTGAGCGACAACTGTTAAAACTACCTCAAGGTTGGAGAAAAAATACTGTGTACCATTTTTGTGAACACAGCATTTAGTAAGAAAAATATTTACCTCGTGAACTGGACACAGATAAAAAAAGAACAAGCTTAATCAGAAAGTACAGGAAACGAACTCACGCAGTGCATCCAGAGGATCTTCTGTTCTTTTACGTTTTATCCTCAAGACAACAGAACGATCATCCGCCGCCATCTTGACATCTCGTCTTGGCGTGCTTGATGGGAAGGTGAGCTTGTCATACTCATATACGAGGTATGTGGTATAACCTAAAGTGGAGTTTCGCGGACGCATCAGAGACCATCTCTCAAACTAACACCCAAGTGGTTCATTTGTCAATAAATCTACCTCGAGTTTTGTGGTGTTTTGTGAAGGCTTACAAAAAAGAGAAAATGTTAAATTGCGTCGAGGAAGTTTTTTTTTGACACTTATTGGGCAATTTTTAAATGCCTCTTCCGTTTTTCTGGCTTTCGGCCCTTCTACATCGCGTGGCAAGCTGTTTGGGTGTTTTTCGGTCAGGTTATTGCGCGTCACCACAACTGCCCCTGTGAATTTGGAGTGAAGAAACTCCCTCACTTTGCTACTCAAACTATTCTCTCCTAAAAACAGTGTGCTCGTAAACATAGACTTTTTTTTTTATAACGAATGGATTTTTTTGTTTTCATTCCAATAAGGTTTAACATAAAAGGCTCAATAACATAAACACTCTCAAAGATTTCTTTATCTGAAACCAGACTGTGGACCATACGCTTCTGCCGAAACTTGATAAAGTAACAAATAGAAAATCCTGTGCCAGAAAGATTTTAAAATTTAAATAATGCGGTGTCCTGTAACATATCTGTTTTTTTATTTTTTCTTTAATAAAAATTAACTTTAATTCTATCATTTATTTTTTATTATTTCTTTGTTTGTTCTAATCAACAACAAAAACAACAATTTTTATTCTTTTATCTTTTTACATAAAATAAAAGTGGGATAGTTTGCCCCGCAAATAGCTAGAAAGCTTATCGTGGCGGGGCAAGACAAGTACCTGAATAACTTAAATCGTCTAGTATCCAAGGACACGGAGTCGTTATTTACACAGT